GTATCAGTGTTTTCTGATTGTTCATTTATAATGAATCATTTGGGTGATTAATTACGTTTTTATTTACATATTACACTGTTTTTACATGTGTGTAATCTTGCTTGTCAGACTAAGGTTTAATTAGTCTGTAGACTACGGACTGAGTACCAGTAAAAGAAAGGAAAGCAGTTAGAAATCTCAGGGACTGGGGGATGATGGGAAGGAGGCGACAGTGGGAAGAAATAAGAGGAAGGAGGATGTGGATGGACACCTAAGTTTAGGAGCACTGGAACAGGGTTGGAGAGCACCAAACTGTTCCAGGGTTTTCTCAACAAGTCGATTCAACACTCCTAGTCTGGGACTTCTGAGGTGTGTTGAAGAACGGCGGAGGTGAAGAAGCCGAGACGAGAACCGCGGCTGATCTAAGGGAGACAGCGGCTGATGGTTGGAGGCCAGATGACCGTGTCAACCTGGCGACACTAGTTCCAAGTTTACTGAGAAGTTTCTCCGGAGCTAAGGTGTAGTTGTAACAACAGAGGGATAATCAAGGCTTCATCGTGCAGGCAGAGCACAATGAAGAGGAGAAAGATTTAGCTCGCGCTCTGAGTTTTAAACCATGAGTGACGTCGGGGCATTTCCTGTTGAGGTATCAGCTTCCTCAATCAGCTGATTGGTCAATGCGTGAGCTGACTGTCTTTATCCAGAAGTTCCTTTTCAGTGCATCTTTTGATCAAACTAACAATTTAAGGTCAGATAGCCATACGCTTTAAAAAGCACCAAAGAGTAAGTAATGAAATAGTCTTTTTTTTACATGACTAAAGGGATACACGCCCGTTGAGGTAGTTTAAAGTTGATTTTTCAGACAAAACTAAAGAGATAAACTAAAGGGATAAACTATAAGGATAAATGGGTATTGACTATTGGTATGCATGTCTGACGGGGTATGCTCATCTGACAGAACACATGCAGCCGGGGCTTGATGGATGGATAAATGGATGGATAAATGGATGGATGGATGGATGGATGGATGGACAGATGGATGGACGGATGGATGGATGGATGGATGATGGATAGATGATGGATGGACGGATGGATAAATGGATGGATGGATGGATGGATGGATGATGGATAGATGAATGGATGATGATGGATGGATGGATGGATGGATGGATGGATGGATGGATGGATGGATGGATGGATGGATGGATGGATGGATGAT